TATTATGTATGTATAAATATATTTTCACAAAAAGCTGTTCATACAATACACACTATTACAGCCCACTCTTTTTAAAGATAGACATCTTTTCACATCAATAAATCTCTCTCTGATGTTTACAATAACTTCATAAAACCTAGGGTATAGATAAAGATATAGCCTAGAGTGATTTTAATCCATCTCTCACCACTTAGACTTATCTTTTAGAAATTTACTAGTATGAATTTGCATTCTTGAATTCTTCCCCTACTAATATATGCTCCTTAGTCTCTATCTGACACTTCAGGTGTCAAAAACCATAAAACCAAACTCACTGGTAGTTATGAGTCAGATCTGACTTGACAGCAGTGAGTTTGTTTTGTTTTTTTTAAATAAATGTATACAGCGGAACATACACCAATTCAACAACTTCTACATGTACGACTCAGTGATACTGAATACACTCTTCAACCTGTGCAGACATTCTCACATCCTTTTCTGAACTGCTTCTCCCTCATTATCATCAACTCACTACTCCCTATGCTTTCTACTGAACTTTCCAAGTTGCTGTTTGATCATGCATAACTACTTCCTCCTATCCTAATCCCAGATCGTTTAGGGTTGTTTTCTTTTCCCCCTTTTCCATCATGATTTTTAAGGTGGCATCTTTTTCCACTAAGAAATTCTCACTATAAAATGTCATTTTCAAAAGGCAAATTGAGTATAGATTTTTCTCTCTTTCCATTGGTAAAGTGGAGCCAGGGTACTAACTCTCAAAATAGCTCCACTCTAGGTCAAGTTGAATAAAAGCCCTGGTGACACAGTGGTTAAGAGCTCAGCCACTAAATAAAAGGTCAGCAGTTCAAAACCACCCAATAGCTCCACAAGAGAGATACCTGGTCATCTGCTTCCATAAAGATTGTTGTTGTTGTTGTTATGTGCCATCGAGTCAGACAGATTATGGCCTTGGAAATGCTATGGGGCAGTTCTTCTCTGTCACATGGGATCACTATGAATCCGAGTCAACTCACGACTTGAGGGGATCCAACAACAGCTCAAGGGAAGGGGCTTCACCTTGTGCCACTTCCTTTCAGAGGAATCATGACTAGTCCCGAGCAGATCTATA